CTCTTGCGATTTAGGAATCGCGCGTTCGCTGGGGACTTCACTCAATTTTCTCAGGAATCGCTCTATCGCTGGAAACTTCCTGGCTAATCACGCCGAACTCTCGAAGAAGTATATACCCACTAAAAGTGGTATGATCGAAAACGAAAATGGCGGTCATCGAGGGTTCGGGAAATCCGCGCTGAATGACTCTCGAGCAGATATAAGCGAACAGTCTTGAAATGATTGTTGCGGTTGTTTATGTGAAATTTCCATGTCGAAAGAATGTTGCCCTCCTTCCCCCGGTTGCCCATGGTGTATTTTCAATTAGCGAGCTCTTCCCGGGGCTCGCGCTCTGTCTTCTCAAGGGGAGCCCTCGGGGCTCAGATTGCGTTGTTGGCCCCCGGTTTATAACATCAGCGGCACCCGCTTAATTTGTCCGCAGAATTCATTCAGAAGTCGTGTTTTTTTTGCGGGGTTCCCCGGCAATGTATGCAGGAATAGAAACCGCGTCCTTGACACTGGGGAATCACGCTCTCGCTCTGGCCTTTTTCACGATTTTGTCGGGAATCGCGTTATTGCTCGAGACATCCTCGCGACTCATGCAGGACTTACGCTTCATCACCCCCCGGTTCGACCTGTCCGAGCGGGCCCGCCTCCCTGGCCCGCTCGTTGGGGCCTGCCCGCCCGATTTGCCCGTCTGGTTCTGCCACGCGCTTTCTGCTCTTAGCCCCCCTCCTGCTAATCTCTCGCGTTCCGTCCTTCTCCGACCCCTCCATCCGTCCTCTTTGCCCTGTTTTAGGGGCTGCGCTGAATGCATGTGGCAAGTAAGGAAGATATACCCCCAAAGGGGTCCCGCGCGTCCCAGGGGGAGGAGGCCGGAGAAACGATTTTGTTCACAATGCCCGTTGTTCCTGATGCGCGTCGGGTTGCCGGCGACAGCGATGAGATCGGGGCTTCACCAACGGCTTCCAATCTCTCGATGTGTGTGTGGGGGTCCCCCAAGAATTCCCCAGTTGAGCGTTGAGTTTTTTTTCGTTTGGCGGAGGCAGATTGCCTCGCTCACCCGAGAGATTTCCTTCGTTCGCTTGAACAGTTCCTTGCGATTTGTGCGTGCGTGTGCGTGTGTGTGTTGGGCGCGGTTGCGCGCGTAAGTTGCTTGATGCAGGCTGTCTAAGAAAAGGAAGCAGTAGGAGACCACGGGCGGGCGCCTTTGGCTTGAGTTTTCCATATCATGGCAGCGGCCCGCCTCGGTTTGTCTTGGAAGTCGCTTCGAGAATGCGGCCGCGTGGCAGTTCCGCGGGCAACTTTTAAAAATTGAGGTTGGTGTTGTGCGTGGGTCCTCCGGCGAGTACAATCGCAGCCTCGCGGAAGATGGATGGAGGGAGGGGTTGAGGGAGGAGGAGGCGGAGGAGAAAGGAAGGGGAGGAGGTAGGACCCTAACGTCCTCGCTTGCTCGGCACCCTCGCATTCTCGCCTGCTCGGCGTATCCTCAGACTGCGTATCTTTAGCGCCCAAGGAACCCGCATCCTGATCGTTCCTAATTTATTATTCGCGTTCGTTGTCATCATATGGTCGGTTGTTTTTCGGCATAGTTGGTGCCGCGGTCATGGGCTCCTGCCCTAACATTGAAAGCCCGGGGTGGCCGACACTCGCTTGGCAAAAGGGCGAGCTGTCGAAATTAGAGCAGGCGTTTGTTATTCAGGTGCTCGCTTTGCATTTATCTTATGCTCTTTTGCGCATCGGAAGAAGGGTGTTTCAAGGGGGGGTCTGGAGAAATGATTGCGCTTACAGGGCCCGTTGTTTCTCGTTGGTTTTCGTTTACCGGCGGCAGCGACGAGGCCAAGGTTCCATCAGAGGTTGCCAGTCATCCGTTGTGTCGGGAGGCTTTCTCTTTGCAGATCCCACCCGAGCCTTCATACATTTTCTCCGTTCGACGGTGAAGTCTTCATCGCTTTTCTATGCGAAGACAGTTGTGAGGAGTTTGCTATGGCGCCAAAGGGCTCCGCATCCTTGCCATTCATTTTTGTGCTCGCGCTATTTGTAATCATGCGATGGGTTGTTCTTTGGCGTAGCGCTCGCCCGATCACTCTTGTTACTGCCTTAGAAAAGGAAGCCAGGGTTTTCTCTTTGGAAATTTTTGAGTTTTCATAATTCGGGGGTTCGCTTTGCATTCTGATGTAGTCGTTGTGTAAGGGAAGAGGGAGGTTCGAAGGCTGGAGAGGGGGTCTACGGAACTGCGTTTACAGGCTTGTTGTTTCTCGCGGGCGTTCGTGTGCCCGCGACGTTGATGAGATGAGAGCGCAACCGAAGGTCTTCAGTTATCCGCGTTGTCTGGAGGTTTTCAACAGGAGTTTCCTTTTGCAGCGTCCGTGATCTTGCTCGGCGTCTCTTGGGATCATGTGATGAGTTGTTCTTTGGCGCAGCGTTCGCCCGATCAACGGCTACTAAATCAGGGCAGGCGTGTATCGTTCAGGTGCTCGGTTTGCGTTATTACTTCGTCGTTGTGTACAGGAAGGGAGGGTTCGAAGGCGGGAGCAATTGGGGTATAGAGAGACGAATGTGTTTACAGGATTCGTTGTTTCTCACGGGCGTCCGGGTTTTGGCGCCAGTGACGAGATGAGGGCGCAATCGAAGGTGTTCAGTTATCCGTGGTGTAGGGAGGTTTCTAACAGGAGTTTCGTCTCCGAGCGTCCGTAAGCTTCCTCGTTCGACGACTCCTGTAGTCATGTGATGGGTTGTTCTTTGGCGTGGCGTTCGCCCGATCAACGGTTTGGAAAATGAGGAGTTTACAAAGTTATGGCAGGCGTGTGCTGTTGAGGTGCTCGCTTTGCGTTCTTATGTAGTCGTTGTGTACAGGAAGAGCGTGTTTCGAAGGCTGGAGACGGGGTCTAGAGAAAGGATTGCGTTTACATGGCTTGTTGTTTTCCACGTGTGTTCGGCTCTCCGGAAGCCGAAAGCCGAACGCCGCCAAAGTGCGGCGGCGTTGATGAGATGAGGGCTCAATCGAAGGTGTTCAATTATCCTTGGTGTCTGGAGCTTTCCAGCAGGGGTAAATCTTTCCAGCGTCCGTAAACTTTATTTTTTGACGGCGTTTGTAATCATGTCATGGTTTGTTCTTTGGCCTAGCGTTTGCCCGATCAACCGTTGTTGCCCTAAAACTGAAAACCTGGGGTGGCCGGGGGCTCGTGGGAAAAGTAGGACCTTTCAGACTTTTGGCAGGCGCTTTGCATTGTTCTGTAGTCGTTATGAATGGACGGGGGTTTCGAAGGCTGGAGAAGGGGTCTAGAGAAACGGCTGCGTTTACAGGGCCCGTTGTTTCTCACGGGCGTTCGGTTTTCGGCGCCAGTGACGAGATGAGGGCGCAATCGAAGGTGTTAGATGATTAGTGTCTGTCTGGAGGTTTCCAGCATGAGCTGCCTCTTCCCAGCGTCCGTAAACTTCCTCGCTCGGCGGCTCTTGTAGTCGTCTGATGGGTTGTTCTTTGGCGTAGCGTTCGCCCGATCAACAGTTAGTGCCTTAACACTGAATGCCCGGGGTGTCCAGGAACTCTTTTGAAAATGGGGAGATTTCCAATTCAGGGCATGCGTGTGCTATTCAGGTGCTGGCTTTGCGTTATTGTGTAGTTGTTGTGTAAGGGAAGAGGGAGGTTCGAAGGCTGGAGCTGGGGTCCACAGGAAAGATTGCGTTTACAGGGCTCGTTGTTTCCCACGGGCGTTCTGGTTTCGGCGGCGTCAATGAGATGAGGGCTCAATCGAAGGTGCTCAGTTATCCACGTTTTTTGGAGGTGTCTACCAGGAGTTTCCTCTTCCAGCGTCCGTGAACTTCTTCAGTCGGTGGTTCTTGTACTTATGCGATGGGTTGTTATTTGGCGTGGCGTTCGCCCGATCAACTGTGAATGCCGTGAAACTGAAAACCCGGGGTGGCAGGGAGCTCGTTGGATACAAACAAGAGTTCTTAACATTTCGGCAGGCGTGTGTTCTTCGGGTGCTCGCTTTGCATTCTCATGTTGCGTTTGTGTACAGGAAGGGGGAGCTTCGAAGGCTGGATATGGGGTCTAGGGAAACGCTTGCGTTTGCAGGGCTCGTTGTTTCTCACGGGCGTTCGGTCTTCGGCGGCATTGGTGAGACGAGGGCCCAATCGAAGGTGTTCAGTTATCCGTGGTGTCTGGAGGTTTCCAACAGGAGCTTCCTTTCCCAGCGTCCATGACTTCCCCCGCTCGCTTGCCGTGAAGTCCCAGCGTCCAGAAAAACTATTCCGCTCGCCAGAACTGGTTTCTTCGTTCGGCTGCGCCGATCTTTGCTCCCCCATTTTTTCCCTCCTCGTCAGTTTGCTACTCTCCTCATAACCCCAATGCGAGACAGAAAAGGGGTGCGAAGACATTTGGTGCGAACGAATCATGTTTCGGCCCAGCGCTCCTTCGGCAGCTTTTCAGGACCGTGGCCCATCACAGGCAAGGGACTGCACCTGCAGGTCTCGCTCAGCGTCTGGTGAAGCGCTTGCCAGAAGATTGGCCCCAGATGTCGTAGGGCTGCTCTGCTTTTTCGCCAAAGGGTGCTCGCACTTGGGGGAGGTGGGAACTCCTCTCACAGAAGTGAGTTGGGCGGGTGCGTCGAGTGTTCGCCACGTCCTGGCCCGTCGCCACCCGCTGCCGCTTGTGGTGGCTCGTCGAGGATTTGCCTCCTTCCCGACCGTTGCCGCCCGTTGCCGCTTGGGTGGGTGCATCTAGGATTCGCCACGCTCAGGCCCATTTCCGCCCATGGGCGCCCGTTGCCGCTTGTGCAGGTGCGTCAGGGATTCGCCACGTTCCCACCCTTTGCCGCTCGTCGCAGGCCCGTTGCCGCGTGCTGCCGCCGGCTGCCACCACATCGCCTCGACCGCATATCCCCCACGACATAGCTTCCACCACCGGAGTGCGACATCTCACTGTTTGGTGGCCATGGTGGCAAACCTTATGTCGTCAGTAGGAGCAATTGCAGAATAGTTCCTGCAGACGGAAAGCGGAGACACGCTCTGTAGAACAGGTGCGCCCGGAGATACAGTGCTGGATCGATAAGTTCGCAGCAGACATGAACGCCACGGTGGGCTTCCCGGTGGACGAGGCCGATCTAGGCGAGCAGCTCGTGTCTTGGTTTGGGGAGTCGACAAATCAGGACTACATGCTCGATGTCGGCACCGCTGATGCAGGCTATTCGGGACGGGTGAGGTATGCCCAGGTGCGCATGAGAATCAACGTCAGGCAGTCGGCCACTGCACACGACCTGGAGGCAGAGTACTTAGAATGGGCGGATTTCGTGGACAGGAGGAACGCCGCCGCTCCAGCTGGTGCAAAGATGCTCATGGTGTCGTCTGCATGGACACGGATGGACACCGAACTATCCATGGTGAGATCGTCAACTCTTTCGGTGGCCCTTTCCATAGCGATCAGCTTTGGGGTAGTCACCCTCTTCACGGGCAACCTGCTCCTCTCGGGCTACCTTGTCATGACCATCATCCTGGCAATGATGGCCCTGTTCTTCTGCCTGACTTGGATTGTCGGCATGGAGTTCGGGCCGATCCAGATCATCTCCGAGGCCGGAGGTTATACGCGTCCACCCCTTTGGAAAACCGACGTTACGGAGGCGGTGGATACGAATATCTTTGCACCCCTCTTGTGGTATCGGAGGTTGGGGGGTGAGGTCGCAGTGGAACGGAGACCCCAACCGGGAGATCGTTTCGTTTCGTTCGTGTCGTGCGTGCTGGCGAGGCGAAGCTTGGCGGGCGCGCGAGAGGAATGAACCCGCAGATGCTAGGGCGAAGTCAAGACAAACTATTCTCTCCCTCCCGCCCGTCCGGCGGTGGCCCGGGGTGTCCCGCGGTGTCCCGTGGTGTCCCGTGGTGTCCCGTGGTGTCCGCCGTTGCTAGGGCGATGTCCAGACAAATGCTTCTCCCCCGCCCGCCCGTCCGTCCACCCGTCCGGCGGTGGCTCGCGGTGTCCCGCGGTGTCCCGTGGTGTCCCGTGGTGTCCCGTTGAGTGAGATCGTGAGATCGATCGTGAGATCGATCGTAAGATTGATAGTGAGATCGATACTGAGATCGATGTGGTGCCCCGAGTTGTCCCGTTGTTTCCCAAAAAGTGAGATCGATAGTGAGATCGATAGTGAGATCGACAGGTGTTCCGTCCTGTCCCGTGGTGTCTCGTGGTGTCCCGTTGAGTGAGATCGATAGTGAGATTGATAGTGAGATCGATACTGAGATCGATGTGGTGCCCCGAGATGTCTCGTGGTGTCCCGTGGTGTCCCAAAAAGTGAGATCGATCGTGAGATCGATTGAGTCAGATGTTGGTTCTCCCCCCTCACCCCCCCCCACAACCTCCTTATCACCCGAAGTATGGTCGTGTAGGTAAGACCGAAGTATAACATTGAGGTCGGTTCCGGGAGGGTACCCTAGTGTTCCTCGTGGTTTGGGGACGTTCTTGTGCGTCTTGGGGGAGGATCTTCTCGAGTGATCTGATGGTATAGGGGTGTTTTGGCAGGCGGGAGGAATGTTCTTGAAGGATGTTCTTCTGCCCTAGGTCCGACCGTATCCACCGCCTGCTGGGGCCGGTGAGACGCCGGCTTCCTGGGTGGCGGGTGCGTAAACTAGGTGTTTGATTGTGGACCTCTTGGTGATCGCAACCATCCAGCTTTCGCGCCGAAGACCGCTGGAAACCGCCAAAGACCGCCAGAAACCGCCGAAGACCCGTCGGAGGACCGCCCGAAGACCGCCCGAAGGCCGCCGAAGACGACCCAGGAGCAGGGCGTAACGAGGGGTCCGTGATCCAACGCGCAGCGCACAGCTTCCGGCCTCGGGCCATCGGCCTGACGACTTTCGTGGGCCTCAGCGTGGACTCCCGGGGCAGCGGCAAGGGGTGGCTGGGCCCGGGGTCTGGACGCCCGAAATGGGCACGGAAAGAATGGGTACAATGCCCAACAGCAGTTCCTGTTCATTCTGAACAGGATTCGCTGTCCACGCCGCCGCGGCCTGTGTCCATTCGAGACAGAAGGCCGCCTGCCCAACAGCGGCCGCTGTTGGTTTGGGACAACATTTGTTGTTGGGCATTGTACCCATGTTTCCCGTACCCACTTCGGGCGTCCAAACGGGGGGGGACGCCTCGGCCCCGAGGCGCCCAGTCCTCGCCGAGCGGGGCCCGAGCCCCGCCCCTGCCGGGAGCGCGCGGCTTCGCCGTCGAGCGCCTGCCGCCGAGCCGACTCTGGTTCCGTGTGTCCTGACGGGCCTGTTTTCCACCACCACCACCATGAGGTGGAGGGGGAGGGGGTCCTTCTTCTCCTCCTCCTCCTCCTCGTCCTCCTCCTCGTCCTCTTCGTCCTCCTCGTCCTCCTCGTCCTCCTCCTTCCCCCCTCCCCTGCAACTTATGGTGGTGGTGGTGGTGGAGAACAGGCCCATCATGTCCGTCCGCCTGAGCCAGTCTTCCCCACGCACCTGGACATGCGCTGTTCTGACCTTTCCAACACAGGGCCATGCACGTCCCGACCCTTCCCTCAGGACCAGCTTTTCATCATGGGCAGTTTTGGCACGGCCCCGGAGCCCGGCAAGGGCCGCCTGGAGGCCAGAAACTGCCAACCACCTTCCGTCGTGTTTTTTTTCCCCATCGCCAGCATGTCTGGGTGCGACTACACGTAAGAGTGGCCCTTCGCCTGAGTGACCTTTAGTGCGAGCTCCTCGGGGTCCCCCGCGATCGCTGAGCGCAATGCGATAGGGGCAGCTTGCGCGCTTGGGTTTGGCCACCTTGCGCTACCTTCATCCGCGCACTAAAGGTCACTCTTGCGTGTGGCCGATGGGCATCTTTCCCCCCTCAGGACTATACCCTGCACACGTGCCACGGCTACCACGAGTCTGCCCACGACACCGCTCGGGGGAAGGCGACGGACGCTCTGATGCGCGTGGGCCCAGCCATCCTGGGTGGCGCCCTGACGACGGCCGGGGCGACCGTGTTCTTGTTTCCCTGTTGGATACTGCCCTTCTGAGGGGCAACGATCGGGCGGATGGGCATAGAAACCCAGGACGAAAGTTTTTCCCTCTTGGGGTCGGAACGAAGTCTTGAGCAGACGCGTATAAGATAACCGCCGTCAGATCCCATTAAGTTCGCGCGGATCCAATTTCCGTCCGCGCGGGTCCGATTTCGGATTTACTGAATCCGCGTCTTGCCCTGTTTTACGGTGGATGTGATTTCTACCCCGGTCTAAGTTTCTTGTATTAAATTAACACGGGGAGCCACAAGAAATCATATCCGCGGATCCCAAAGCCCGCCCGTGTTAAGTCTCTACGGGGGGAGGGGGTTCGGTCATCAACTTCCCAGGATGGGTCCTCAACTCAACTGTCTCACGCACTCACATCAACTTTCCGCGCGCGCGGGCCCCGCTCAACATGAATGCATATTTCTCTTCCTGGTTACTGCACGCAGCTCGTCCACGGCGTCCGTTCGGCGGCGCCGATGTTATTTGTCGAACTCAACATCGCCATTTTCACCCCAAGAGGAAATTCTCTCGTCCTGCGTAAGTAGGGGGAAAACATCGACCTGGAATCGGCGATACATCGCCGATAGGTCGTCGATAGGCCCCCGATAGTGAATCTACACGTTCCTGGGCAGGTTGGGGCTATCGGGCCCCTATCGGCGACCAGCGGGCGATTGGTGGTCGATGCATCCCCCCCATGCCTATACCCCCCTATCATTGCCCCTCACCTTCTACCAGCTCGGTGTCATGCTCTTTCTCAACACCCTGATCACCCTGGTCCTGACGTTCTTCTTCCTGATTCCGCTGCTGATGGTGCCTCCCTCGATCCCCCTCCTCTCGCTCGTATTTTGTAGGGATTTTGTTTTCCTTTTCTCTCTCTCTCTCTCTGTCTCTCTGTCTCTCTCTCTCTCTCTCTCTCTCTCTCTCTTCGTCTCTCACTCTTTCTATGATGCATTCCTCCTCCTTCCCTCCTCCTCCTACCCCTGTTTCTTCCGGCAGCTTGACAGAGACAGGCAGGCCCTGAATACGTGATTCATAATCTATGGTCCTTCTCTTCTTCCGCCTCCCCCCAAACCCCCGAACCTCCCAGGGCCACGAAGAGTTTCCATATAGCATCCGGCAAGCTTCGGGAACGCTCACAACCGTCTCCCCCCCCAAGATTCGTCTCATTCTTCGCCCCCTCCCCCCCCTCCCGCTCCCCCTCCTTCCCCCCCTCCTTCCCCCCGCCTCCCCCCCTGCCCTCCTGCCTCCCTGCCTCTTGCTCCCCCCGCTCCTCCTGCCCGCTCCTCCCGAGGGGAGGCTTCAGCCGGAGACCTGCACCGATCCTCACCAGGCTGGGCCTGGGCCCTGAAGTGGCCCGCAGCCAGGATCGGCCCGGGTGTGTACGGTCGGGCCGAGGTACAAGATCGAGGTCGGCTCGGGGAGGGCACCCTGGTGTTCCTCGAGTTTGCTGGACGTTCTTGTGCATCCTGGGGAGGGGACCCTTGGATGGTCTGTTGGTCTTGGCCGACGGAGGGTCTCACGTTCTTGAAGGATGTTCTTCTGGCCTGGGGACCGGCCGTGTTTACAGCGGGCATGCCTGCACGTGCACACCTATGTGCTGGTACAGCTCGTGTCTGGTGCCAGCCGCCAATCGCCCGCATTGGGGCATCTCGTTTCGTTCTGCCCCTTTTCCCTCCCTGGCGCTCCCCGATGTTTTCCAGTACGCTCTCAAGGCCGATGCATGCAAGCCCTGCCCGAGCAACTACCTGCGGGAGCGACTTTGCTGTCGCCGGTCTCGGGGCCTGTCAGCACCCAGGGCCAAAACGGCTAATACGGAGAAGCGCGCAACACAATGATACAAGAACTGCCGAATTCGTATCTTGGGACGCGCCTTGCTCGCAGCATGAATCTGAGACATCTCGGGGCGACAGTCTTGCCATCCGCGTGTCTGATGCGGAGACATGCGCTGTGCACTGACCACTTTCCCCTCCCTGGCGCTCTCTCCTCCTCGCTCCTCCTTCTCGCTCCGCGTGCGGCACGGTCGCAGCTTCCCAGCCGTTGCCGTCGGCCCCCTTCCACTCGCCGGCCTGGCCGCCGAGGTGCCGCGCGAGGCCTCGGCCCACCGCTTTAGGCTAGTTCGTCTTCGCGCGGCCCGCTCTGGCTGGACTCGCCGCTGGCGCTCTCGCCTGCGGCCGCGGACTAAAAAGTGCGGCACGGCCGCTCCTCCGTCTGGCCGTGTGCAGTGGGCGCGTCGAGCCGCGGGCCAGTGCGCCAGCGGGTGCCCGGCGGAGGGCTCCTGCCCCCCCCGCGCGGCCCCGCGGGGGCCTGCGGGAGCCCCCGGGGGCACCTCGGGAGGCGCCCGGAGCTCGGCGGCAGGCGTGCCCCCCAGGCTCCCTTCCAGTGGGGGCCTGTGCCAAGAAGCACCTCCTCCTCCTCCTCCTCCTCCTCCTCCTCCTCCTCCTCCTCCTCCTCGTAAGGTGGCCCAGGCTTCTCGAGGGAGCCGGTGGCTTGCTTCCGGGGTGCCCTGGGTTCCCGGGGTGTCGATGGTTCTGCCACGGAGAGCGTGGCGTCCCCACGCCAAGCATCGATGCACGCCCCCGGGTCTCAGGGTTGGGCTTCTGGTGGAAGGTCTCTTGTGATCGGGCCCCTGCTGTGCAGCAGGAGTTCTCATGTAGTGTGCTTGGCATCCTCCTGTCCTCCCCCCCCCCTCCCCTCCCTTCGGCGGCGAGCCCAAGGGGGAAGTCAGAAAGGGGCTGGCATTCTCAGAAGGCTCGGGAGGCCTCGAGCCTCCTGAGCAGATTGCTAAGCCTTCCCCGAAGGCGCAGACAACTTCTCAGAAGGCTGGAGGACTTCTGAGACGCCCCGCCGCCTTCTGAGAAGGCCTCCTCCTCCTCACTTCCCCCCTCGCTCGCCGCCGAATTGTTGATGTTTTCGAGGTTTTCGGATGTCTTTCGCCGGCTCTCAGCGGTTTTCCAGCCTCCTCGCTCCTCGGGCCGAACGAAAGGGGGGGATAGGGAAAGGGGGATGGTACAAAATCCGCTGCGCGCAGCTGGTTTCGGCCCCGCCGCCGGACCCCTTAAGTCGATACATGGGCGCCTCCCGGCGCCGGGAGGTGCCGGGAGAATCAGCTGCGTGAGCTGATTCTCAAATTCCCCCTTTGCTATCCCCCCCCCTTGCGCCCGGCCCGAGCTCCCCACTTAGGGGGCCACATGCGAACCCTACCCCTACCCCCCACGATTTCTCAGGGGGAGGGTGGGGTTCCCTTCGTTCGGGAGCTCCCGAGCCAAGTGAACCCCACCCTCCCCCTCAACAATCCTGGGGGGGTAGGGGTAGGGTTCGCATGCGGCCCCCTACCACTCCTCACGCCCCTCCCTCCCCGTTGCCCTGGAAGCTTTCGGGCCATCGCTCGGCTCTCCGGCGGCGGCTCGGGATGAGCCGGCCGCACCCCTGGAGAGGGCCTGGGCGAGCGCAGCCGCTGGAGGGCGCCCCGAGGCCGGAGGACCGCCGAGAGCCGGCGAAAGACATCCGAAAGCCTCGCAGCTCCATGCAGGCAAGCAGGCCCCCCCCCAAAGCAGTCCGATGCGGCCCGATGCTCCCATGGCGCTGCTGTGCATCCTGACGCCTGACGCAGCCGACCCGGTTCGATTCTGAGTCCGTGCCCGTGCGGCCCGGTCCAGCGCACCTTCCGATTCGGTTCGGTCTCCCGATTTTCAGCGGCGAGCGATGTGCGGAAGTGAGAAGGAGGAGGCCTTCTCAGAAGGCGGCGGGGCTTCGCCCTCTTGAGCAGTTCCAGCGTCTTCGGGGAAGGCTTATCAAACTTCTCAGAAGGCCGGGGGCCTTTGAGCCTTCTGAGACTCGCCCATTCTCACGACTCACCGTCGATCCTCTCTCCACAATCACACATTCTGAATAGGACTCTCCCCTCTCCCCTCTCTTCGGAATGTTCTCCACGCGCAGGATTTCAAAGGTTGTTATTCTCTATGTTTTTTTTTTTCCCATACTCCGACCGTGCTCGGTGTTTCAAAGCGGTGCTCCCGCTGCAGCGGGGGCCTCATGTACGGATCGGGGCATTGCTCCCGCCGTTCAGAGTGGCGCTCTTGCCCCAGCGCTGGCCCCTTTTCTGGATCCGAGTCCTTTTTCAATGCTGTCGCCCCCCTCGTTTCCCCTCCTCCGCCTTCCACTCGTCCCCCTGTTCCTCCCGCTCCTTCCACTCCAGCTCCTGCTGACGCTGTTCGTCCTCGTCGTGCTCCTCCTTCCTCATGCTCCTCTCTTTCCTCCTGCTCATCCACCTGCTCACTCGATTTCTCCTCCTCCAATGTGCACGGCTCGTTTTCCTTCCGATGGCGCACAACACCTTGGTTTCCCGTTCGGCGTTCCACGTCCGCTATGATACGCGTCGGCGGATAGAGACAACCACAGCGCAATGGGGAGGGATGGGCGGGAGGGGCAGGACGTCAAATATGGCGCGAGCGCTCTTAGCTTGCCTTCACCCCCCCTTCTCCCCTCTCTCCCCCCCCCCTCTGCTCAAGGTCGCGGGGCCCCGCGGGGAGTGCTGCGACATCTACGCGGTGCTCTTCTGCCGCGCGGTCCGGAGGGCCCTGCAGTCGCCCGACGAGGACGGGCTCCTGCTTTCGATGGCTGCCTATCCCCACCTTCCTCCTCCTCCTCCTCCTCCTCCTCCGTAGCCATTCTGGCTCGCGCCATTTTGGCTCGAGTCGCCACGCCGCCTCGCGGCCGCATTGAGACCTCTGATCCGAGGCCCTCATCGGCTTCCAGCCACAATCAGGAGCGAGCTGGCGCTCAAGCGATCTGCCGTCGCACTCCGGGGCGTGCGGCCGCCCATCCCTGCTCATCTTTCTGGTGTTGCAGGCTGCCGTCCATATCGCGTCGAGCGCCGCTCCGCACCTCCATATCCTGGCCGAGCCTTCCTTCAGCGTGGGTGACGTCGCCGTGCCGTCCGAAACTGCCGAGTTCCGCTTCGCTAGTTGCCCCTGCGGCAGCCAACAGTCTTTCCCCTCTGTCACAGGTGCGCAGAACTTCCTCATCGTTTCGTTGCAGACGCGCAGTGGGCACGCATTCTACCTGGACAGTGGCTCCCTGCCGCTCAAGTTGCAGCAGTGTCTTCATCCAGTGAAGGAAAAGGTCGGTCTATTTCCCGCAGCCAGGCCTCCGCCAGTAAACACCGCAAAGAAACACGACATGCACGTGAACGGGCTGATTGGGATAGTCGAGACAGCAGAGCCGCCACTGCTCGCCGCACACTCGCCGAGTTTGGAAAACTTGGGTTCGCATCTCAACCCGCACGTGACTTTGGACGCTCAGGTCGTGCATCGGCCCCTGCATCACGGTCGGGACGCTCGTTCGCTCGGCAAGGCATTGCCGCACAGCCCGGAGTCTTCGCCATGGACACCGGCGAGGTTTCTGCACGACGCCAGCGTGCTAAACAAGAAACGGCTGCCGCCTCCCAGCGTGGCGAGTGGCAAAAACCACCGTCGCAGCTTCCCGAAGGCCCTGCAGCACGTGCAGATCGCGATCGTCCGTTTCGCGCTGCTGCACTCGACCATTGGCGCGCTGACCCCCTGGCAGGACAAGGGGATCCATTGCGTGACCGTGCAGCCGCTGGAGGGGCCTCCGCCGTCGGAGCCGCCGCCGCCGCTCCTGGACTAGGAGGCGCAGGTCCTGACGGAGGTTTATCTACACCACCAGCGCCACCTGACGTTCGAATCCCACGACTCGATCCAGCCTCGACGCTGCTCTTCAACAGCTCGTGCGAGATCAAGTCGCTCACGCCGCCAGCACGTTCCTGGCCCAGGCCAACACGCTCCTCAACCACTCACGAGACAGTTTTCGACAGCTTCTATCGCAACAGGTACTCGCCACGGAACGCCGAGTGGACACTCTTCACGGTGTTGTCGCCCGCGCCCGTGGAGATCAAGATCGTCGAGCAGCTGGGCGGCAGCGCATGTGGCAGCACATCGACCAGATGCGCGACGCCCTCGCGCTCGCCGAAGCCCAGGTGCCGATCGCAGACCTCTCCAGGCGTGCCGAGCGGGACAGGGTGCCAGATGCCACGCTCTTCGCTATCGGCAGCCGGCGCCTCGTCGCGCCCGACCTGCTCCTCAGCGACTTGCAGGAGTGGGTCGCCGCGGCCAGCCTGCAGTCGGGCATGGTGGAACTGCGCGGCGTCGCTCCCGCCGGGCGCTTCGCTCTCCAGGTCCAATGCAACAGGGGGGTCGCTGTCCCTCGAGCACTCGCTCTCGCTCGCACTCTTCGCGATGCCGCAGGTAAGAGGAGGCGCTCCGAGTCCACGGACACCGCGGGACGGATCGCGCCCATCTACAAAAGCCCAGACAAGTCTGCCACGCAGATCCGCGCGGAGGGTCAGAGCCAGAAGCTCCACCAGCTATTGCAGCGCAAGTGTCCTGGCAAGCAGCGGCGCGCCATCCGCGCCGAGGGCGAGATCCACTGCCGCGCCCTGCCCGTCGTCCGCCCCGAGATAATGGCCAGGCTGACCCGGCGGTCCTCGAGTGGAGCGTGAGGGGAGAAGGCGTTCGAACGCGAGTGCTTCCGCGACATCGGCCGCGGCGCCACCCTCATCGCCTTCCAGGCCCTCTTCGCGGGCGCCGAGTCGGCAGAGTGGCGTTCGTAGCCGCCCGTGGGCGCCCTGGCGCGCCTCGGAGAGCAAGCGCATCGCGGGCCTGCTTCGCCTCCTGGAACGCCCGCGCGCTCACGTGCCACAAGCGCTCCCGCCGTCGGAGGAAGCAGGCCGCCCTTCCCAAGTTCATGCGTCGCGGCTGCGTCGTCGTGTTTCAGGAGGTCCACGGCGCGGAGGCCATGCTGCGCACATGGGTGGATGCTCAGCCTTTCCCGTGCAAGCTTTACTTCTCCGAGATCAAGGTCCCCGGCGGTGACGCTGGCAGCGCCGCGGGTGACGTTGCAGCGTTCGCCCCGTGGTTCTCGCCGTTGCAGCTCGAACAGCTCTCGCAGAACCACTTCCCGCTCATCTCGCATGACGTGCTCGTGTCTGGCCGCGTCCAGACAATGGTCATCGCCAGCGCAGTCACCCGTCGTTCCGCCGTCATCACGCACGTGCACAATCGCGACGTCGAGGCCGCCGACCGTGCCAATATTCGTCAAGAGTGGCATCTACATCGTGCGTGGGCGGAGCAGAATGATCGCACCCGCGCGTTCATCCCCATCGGTGGCTTCAACGTTGCCAGCCACCCGCCGAGCAGCCTCCTGCAGCCGCAGCCTCAGCGCGAGCGCCTCGTCCTTGACAACAGCGCTCATCAGCAACAACCGTTCTGGAAATCGCTGTTCGACGCTATGCTCTAAGTCGGGACCGACGCGCCCGCGCGCTTCAACAAAGCCGATTGCACCGCGTCCGCCATTGACCGCATCTTCATCAGTGTGTCGTCGCACGCCAGGCGCGAGGTCGTCGCGAACGTAGCCATCGCTCGCGATTTTGCCATCCTGCCTGACAAGCGCCTCAGCGACCATGCCATGCTGCAGCTTCAATGTCCTTGAAGCCGCGCGCGCCGCCGCTCGAACAGGCTGTCCGCTCGGCGATCTTCAGCTACGCCAAGTACCTGCAGCAGCTCACTGGCGCCACTAACGACACCTACCAGCCGATCGAAAACCGCTGGCGCATGCACGAGCGCCTTATGAGGGGGGCTGCTCAACTTGTTCGTGATGACTGGCTTCGTCGGCCCTTTGGCGATGTCCACCGCGCTGGCTACGTCGAGGGCCGGGTGCTCGCCGTGCGCTCGACCTCGTGCGCGGTCTGGCGGCGCGACATCCAACTGGCGCGCCGCGTCCAGTCCGCGACCGAGCTGGGCGCCAAGTTCCTGAGAACGGCTCGATCTCGCTATCCGACAATGCCGAGTTCGCCATGTGCCCGCCAACCTGCGCTGCGACGTCGAGGCCAGGGAGCGCTCTCTGGCAGAACAGGCGGTCCAGCGCCCAGCAGGGCAGCCGGGTGCGATCAGCCCCGAGAGGCTTCGCTAGGTCCTGCGGGCTTCCCAGCGCCGCGCCTTTCTATGGGCTCCGTGGAGGCGCCGCCTGACCCTTCAGGGGGTCAAAGTCATCTGCCCTCAGGGGTCTCGGCCTATTGTCGAAGAGAGCTGTGCGATCGTGGGCGCGCTGCGCTCCCCGTGGCAGCCCATCTTTGCCGAGCAGAGTGCCGAGGAGCCCAAGATCCGCCAGTGCATCAACGATCGCATGCCGCTCGGGGGGCCCATCGACGTCTGCGCGCCGACCAAGGCCACTATCCGCCACTTTCCCATGCGCACTCACGCGTCGGCGCTTGGCCCCGACTGCCAGCCGTGCGCGGCCTGGCTGGCGTGCGACAGCTTACTGGATGTCCTAGAGGACGTTCCATTCTTTCTGTGCTCAAGCCAGCACTTTATCCGCGACCTGAACGACTGGGATTTCGCCTTCCAGCCAAGGCGGGGGTGACCTCACTGGCGAGCTCACGACTGGCAGGGCGCCTGAGGCTACGCGGCCGCTCTCGTTCAAAAATACAGACCTCGGAGCCATTGCTGGCGCTGCCCACTTCATGCTCGAGGACGCCGTTGCCAAGCGCGCGCGTATCTCGCAACAGGGCTTCGTCGTCGGCCGCAGCTTCGCCGAGCGCATCGTTCGTCTTGATGCCGAGGCATGCCGCGCCGGCATCGTGCCCAACGCCGCCCTGCACGTGCCGGCCTTCGCCAGCTTCGACTGCGCGGCGGCCTTCCCGCCCCTTGGACGGGCATGACTTTTTGTTGCTCTCGAGCGGTTCGGCCTGCCGATCGGCCACCTGAACTTCTTCCGCTCGATGTGCCGCGCGCCGAACAGCTGCGTCAAGATAGATGGGGTTCGCCACTTCATGTTCGCGATCGAGTCGGGAGTTGCGCAGGGATGCCTTGCGGGTGGTTCGGCGCGGGCGATCGCGATGGACCCGCTATTTCGCCGCGTCGCCTAGCTCGTGGAGCAGCCTGGCGGCGCGTCAGATTGCGACCAGGGCAACGTCGGCGGCTGCGCGGGCGACGTCGGCCTGCTCGCGTGCCAGTTCGACGCGCTGGGCCGCGCTTCTGAGCCATTCTGCGCTGCAGAGGGACTCGCGCCCCTCTCCCTGGAGCATCTCAAATGTGTGGCTGTGCCTTTCTGGGCCGCGGCGACCTCGGACACCGTCGCCCAAGCCCGCTCTTTTTTGGCCGAGGTCTGTCCTTCCTTGGGCGGTTTTTCGGTTGCGGGGCGAGCCGAGCACATCGGGGCCTCCGTTGGGCCCTCCGCCTCCTTCGCTTCTCACTGATTCGCCCCGGGGCAGAAATAGTGGCAAAGAGGCCGCCTTCTCAATATTGTGCAGAGTGGCAGTGGCGCCACGGTTCGCTTATAGAACACTTCATCACCGCCCGCGCTTAGCTACCTTGCCCAGTTTTTTTCCGCTCGACAATAAAACGGTGCATCGCGATCATTCCTTGTTTCACGAGGTGCTCAGCCTGCCGCTGAATGCGTTTCGCCGCGTCGATTTGCTTTCAAAGGCGGACTGGAGTCCACCGCCCGTCGTTCGCCCTGTCCAAGTCACCGCTGTCGCTGCCGCCAGTCGTTCTGCATCATAGACTTTGTCAGGCTCGTG